ACAGAGCCGGGAACCATGATTTCGGGCTTTTCCAGCCTCGATCTCTCCAAAATCATGGTTCCCGCCATCCTCTGGGCCGCCGTGGGCCCCAGGGGCGCCAGACAGAGCTGGAACCCCTGATTTCGGGCTTTTCCAGCCTCGATCTCTCCAAAATCATGGTTCCCGCCATCCTCTGGGCCGCCGTGGGTCCCAGGGGCGCCAGACAGAGCCGGGAACCATGATTTCGGGGTTTTCCAGCCTCGATCTCTCCAAAATCATGGTTCCCGCCATCCTCTGGGCCGCCGTGGGTCCCAGGGGCGCCAGACAGAGCCGGGAACCATGATTTCGGGCTTTTCCAGCCTCGATCTCTCCAAAATCATGGTTCCCGCCATCCTCTGGGCCGCCGTGGGTCCCAGGGGCGCCAGACAGAGCCGGGAACCATGATTTCGGGCTTTTCCAGCCTCGATCTCTCCAAAATCATGGTTCCCGCCATCCTCTGGGCCGCCGTGGGTCCCAGGGGCGCCAGACAGAGCCGGGAACCGGGATTTCGGGGTTTTCCAGCCTCGACCTCTCCAAAATCATGGTTCCCGCCATCTTCTGGGCTGCGGTGGGTCCTTTTCGCGCGCGCGCCCAGCAAATTTCTTTCGAACGGCCCGCAGTTTTCGCGCGAATCGATTTCGCGCGGACGGCGGACCCTCGGCCTGGATGTTTTGGCTGGGACCGCGGAGGCTTTTGTGGCCCGCCAGGTACAAGTACGGTCGACACTGATACGTGTAGGGGTACACCAGGCTCGCTTAGATACCCCTGCGCGGGTCGTGCGTGCCTGTGCGGTAGTGTTTGCGCTGGCATTTTTCAGGCATGCGCCCAGTGTGTGCCCTGCTGGTGCGGGGCACGTTGGTTGACGTGCTACTGTGCGCGAGGGCCTGGGCAGGTGCAGGGCTATGTGCGCCGAGCTTTGCTCCTCCAGGTTTGATCCCGACTCGTCCGTGCGCTCAACGCAGCTACACGGGCGCGTCTCCGTGCGATGTGTTGACCTGTGCGCTCCCGCCGCCATCCAGCCCGCCGTTGCCTGCTGCGTGAGGGGCTGGCTGGCCTTGCATTTGCCTCGTCTCGCGCTCAACGCAGCTGCAGGGTCGAGTCACTTTGACTCTGGTTCCCCAGCATTTGGACGCCCGTGTATGTTCATTCCCTGGCCGCGTGCGATCAAAAGGTGTGCGAGTTTGGCGGCGAAATCCGAAACCTACTCTCGCAGAACAAGTATTCAGGCAACTCGATGGGCGGCGGGGGTAGGGTTCGCAATTCGTCGAACGCGTGGCGAAATCCGAACCCTACCCCTGGCTCCCATCGAATCAGGAGAATCGATGGTTGGTGGGGGTAGGGTTCGGATGCCGCCACCTGCGAGTGTGTGTGTGTGTGTGTGTCTCTCTCTCTCTCTCTCTCTCGGCATCGCGTTGTACAGCTCACTCGAACCTTCAGTCGTGCGCCTCGCCCCTCTCGGGGCTGTGCGCTCCTGCGTGCGTCGTGCGAGCCGTCTTTCCTACACTGCAGCCCTCAGCCGCTGTCACCCATCAACAACGCTTGGCGGAAGAGTCAACCCGCATAGTAAGGATGAGCAACTTTACAAAGTTACCTTTGCATCCTTCCCCTTCGGCCCACCCTTGGACGCTTTCGCTGGCCGCGCCCTGCTCGCAAAGCGTCGACATGACCTTCCAAGGCCCTGGCATCCTTATCCTGCGTCCTTATGATGCGCGTTGATTACAATCCTCACCATCGAAGAAACACTGCGTAAACATACACTTCCATACACTGAACATCCAATGCGCTCACCTATTCCGATGATGAAAATTGCTGCCCCAGCGGTAGCATTCTGCCTTGCGCGCTCGCACGCGCTGGACTGGCCTCGTGCTACAAGCGAAGCGTCGCGCATCCCGGCATCGCAGTTGATCGCGGCATCGACGTTGAGGTCGGCGGAAATCACGGACATGGCTTGCACGGCGATAAGCGAGTATGCTCCCGACACCGGCTCTCCCTTGGTCTGCAGCAACGTCTTCGTGGACAGCAACGACGCGTACTGGACAGACGCAGCCAGCGATACCTCATACGTTTGGTCGGCGGACAACGAGGGGGCAGCGGGCAAACTGGGTGGCTGCGTAGGGATATGGATCGAGTTGATTCTGCCAGCCGAGTACACCGTCGATATTGTCACCTACCGCCAACGGTATTCGCCGATCGACCAGGGCGACGAGATGGACGTAGAGCTGAAGTCTACCAGCGGCACGGTGCTGTCGACGCAGCACATTACTTTCGAAAACGTGAGCACGAACAACCCGCAGGAGGAGGCCTTCTCGCTAACGCCCACGGCTGGCGTGAAGTCCATCCGCTTTACTTACACCAAGGCGGACACAGCCAGCTGTGGCCCCACTGGGGGCTACCTTGGAGCAAAGCGCATCAAGGCCTACGGCACCCCCTCGGCCGCCGGCGCAGGAGCTGCCAGTGCGGGAGCTGCTAGTGCAGGAGCTGGCGGGACGACGACGACAGCCGCCGTCTCAGGCGAAGGGCTCGCCCTCATGACCGAGCTTGCGGAAGAGGTGATCGCAAACGACGAGCCGCTCTTGCCAAATCCTTGGGACGTTGTCGTCAACACCCCGTCGGACAGGGACGTCGGCACTGTCACGGAGCACCCCTTCGCGCCGGCCTACGACCTCGAGGTTGCCGCAGACTCTCTCGAGACCGCAGCTGAGCAGAGTGGAGGCTCACCCACGATCTCCATCCGCAGGATCTTGGTCACGGAAACCAGGAACTCCACCCAACCGCCGCCGAGCTACCGCATGGGAGGCGAAGGAGGCGTAACCGTGAAACACCTTAACGGCATGCAGAACCCGACGGGTGCCACGACAGTTTGGGGGTGGGAAAAGAATAGGTATTTTGCGCTACAGGCTTGGATGGCTACGAAGAGCGATGCCGATCTGATGGCCGTCCATGCCAGTGGCGAGGTCTTGTTTGCTGGTTGTGATGAAAGCACCATCCAGTCGAAGTACAATCAGATCATCACGGCTAACGGTGGTACCCAGACGATTGTCATAGCTGCCGAGGTTAGCCCTTTTCATGCAGATCTCGGGTATTCTTACGACATCTCGACCGCCGGCATCAATGCAACCAGGACTGGGGCCCTGAGTTATCTGAGTGTTGCTGCCGATTGGGCCACAACCTATGCCGCTTGCACCACTGGGGTTTGCAACAGTCCGCCCAAGTATCAGTTCGCAAACCCAGGCTTCATCATGGGCCCTGTTGGGGACATCGCAGAGATGCTTGCAGATATGCCGACGTGGGCCGACACAGAGAATCGTTTGGTCAACCAGTACTACCTCCGTAACACCGATAAGGTTGCTCTCGACTTCGCGGGCACTCTGGTGATGTCCCTGCACAATATGAAGGTCGACGCGAGCATCCCCGTCGAGGTGGAAGTCGCTTCAGGCGGCAAAAGGTTCAAAAACAAGGTGACCCAGGGCACCGTGTGCTTCGTGCACGGTGCCGGGAATTCGTTCAATACCCTCAAAGATCTTGCGCAGGAGTTGCTTTCGTGAGGGCACGCTGGCTGGGTGCACTTGTCGTATTGGGTCCGCTTGTTTCGGCGGGCTCAAGGAGAGTGTCTGATCATTTAATCATTCGATGTGTTCGTCGTGCTTACGTTTACCATGTCAGTAACTTCCATTTTTTTGAGCTATCTTGGAAAAATGCTCCGTAGCGATGACTGCAAACATGAGCTTGCAGAACTCAAGCGTGGTAGCTTCGGGCATCCAGTAATATCCCCCCTGAAAAAAAAAGGCCGAAGGAGCCCTCAAGTCGCCCCAGGAAGGCTTCAAGAGGCCCCCAAAAAGAGACATTAGATGCCGAAATCATTGCGTTTCCAATGCATTGTAAGCCGGTTTTAATGTTCTCGCCTTTCGGGCTTTAGACGCTCGAAGACGGCCCAAGAGGCCCCCAAGATCACCCCAAGACGGTCGTCACGCACTCCACTGGTTCCAGCGACCCCTCCGACGTGGGATGGAGCCCCGCTGGGACACTGCCAACCACTACCCACCAAACAACCCCAGCCCAACGCGAAGGCCCCGAGTTGCCCACCATTCCCAATGGGGTGCGTCAATAATTTGGGACTTCCAGGTTGGGTTGGGGTGGTCTCCCGTTTTCGGCCTCTAGGGGCCCTCTGTGGGCCCCGGGACCGTCAACAAAACGATTCAGGATGAAAAACCGGTCCTGGGGAATGGGTCGAGACTTCTGGGGACCGCGCATTGAAACAATCACGACCTCGGATCTTTGGGTGCGGCCGACAAAAAACAAACGACACCACCCCATTTACGGCCCTCCATGTTACGCTACGGCCCATCGGGGGTCGTAGTGGATACCACGCAGGAGCCCTCGCCAGATTTCTTGGTATACGCGAAGCCCCGTGGGGCCGTGGGTGGGGTGGTGTCGTTTGTTTCCTGGTCTACACGGTAGGTTCGCGTCGTGTCCACCGTCTGCGACCCCGCCGGCATCCAACGTTGATCGCCACCGGCGGCCCATAATCGGTCGATGTTGAACGATCAGACGTTTCGGACGCGGCCGATCGTTCACGGCTGAACGCTCCCTGCAGTGTCAGAAACCAGCGCCGGGGTCGACACGACACGAACCCGCGGTATGTGCATGTGGCCGCGTGTCGGCGGTGCGCCGAGGGGACCAGCGAGAGGGGCAGGCCTTCTGAGGGAGCGGAGCCCCAGAGGATTCAAGCAGTGGCGAAGCGACCGAGCTCGCCTGCAGGCCCACCAAAGAATGTTCTAAGAGCCTTTTGTGGTCTGCACGAAATGTTCTTAGAACATTTCTGGCTGGGACTGATTTACTTTAACACATCGGGTTGATGTTCTAAGGACACTGCTTCTGTTCTTAGAACACTTCGTGGTGGGCCTGTAGGAGTGCTGGGACGGGCGGTCCCTTCTCAGGGGATGCCGAGGAGGCTTCTCAGAGGGCCGGAAGCCTACTGCGCCTTCGGCTCAGGCCTGCCCGCTCTCTCGTCACGTGCGCGCCGCCGATTTGGGTGTGCGAGTTCACGCGCGCGTATCTGCGAGCACCTCGCCTGGCTGCGCTGCTCCACAATCAAGGTTCTTCTTTGCAGTGGTTAAGTCGGGCACGTCCTTCTCTCTACACGAGGAATATCCAAAAATAATCGAAACATAGTCTGGGGACGATTGTTTGAGCCTTTTTGGCAATGTTTGAAGATTGTTTGACTATTTCTTATTTTTCGTCCAACAACCACCTGTAGGGGGACACGCCCGACCTAATTCTATCGGCGTCACCCCAACATACTTATACAATATGTGCGTCGCCCCCCAGGGGCGGCGCGCGCACCGAGGAATCTTATAGTCTATGCGTCGTGGCGGGCGCTTTCTGGCCACACCGCTCGGGAAACGATCTACTACAAGATGGGTGTATTATATGTTCGTTTCGGACGCGCGCCTCCAAGGAGGACGCATAGTACAAGTATGTCTCTGTGCGTCCCATGCTAGCATGTCCCGCAGCATGGCCCGCTGGTTGGGTTCTTCGCCACGTCGGGGGGAACGACACGTCCTCCTCCTCGATCCTCTTCCTCCTCCTCCTCCTCCTCCTCCTCCACCCCTTTTTCCTTCTCCTCCTCCTTTTCCTTTCCCTCCGTAGCCATTTTGGCTCAAGATGGCACGCCATCGCGAGCGCAGCGTGGATACCGCTAGTCCGCGGCCAGGGGACGAGCTGCCGTCCATTCCTGCTTACCGCTCTGGCGTTGCAGGCCGCCATCCATATCGCCTCGAGCTTCGTGCCGAACTTCCATATCGCTTCGAGCCTCGTGCCAAGCATCCATACCGCCTCATCGAGCTCCGCTCCGCGCATCCATATCGCATCGCCGAACGCTGCACCGAGTCGCCTAACGAGTGACACAGAAGTACGCACTGGCTTAACAGCGGACCTGGCCAGTGGTAACATCCTGAAAAAGCTACCTTATTCATTTGGTGTGTACTACGACATCATGTCCGCCGCCTCCTCCGACAGGGCCGACATTTCCAACGGTTCCACGTCCCGCAGCCGCCGAGATGACCGCCACCATCGCCGCGAAGAACCCCGCCGTGACGACCGCCGTCACGATGACCGCCAGCACCGACGCGAAAAGCCTCGCCGAGATGGTCGACGCGCTGTCCGCGAACACCTGGAACACCGTGGCCACGCAGGCTTCAGTAGTCAAGGCCCCGCAGGTGCTCCGCAGCGGCAACTCCGAGCAGCAGGAAGAGGCGCCGCACGTCAGCCACCGACACCTGCCCGCAAATCAGCCAGATCAGGAGGAAGTGCTGCGCCCGAACCCCGGCCGTGGCCATGGAAGAGGTCGATCAGCCACCAGCTGGTCCTGCTGTCCATGATTCACTCGTGGGCGCCGCCGACCCTGGGGCCAACGCTAGGTTTGTCGACCAGCAGCTGGGACCCGCAGCCGCCGAACAACTGGCACGTGACATCGAAATGGCTCCTACCTTCGCATCTCAACCCGCTGCTTCGCCAGCCACCCCAGTCACTGGCCGCGCTACCCTTGGATCAGAACATGAAACACATCCTGCACCACATCCTGGGATACCCGAAGGTCTGGACGTCGCTCTACGGGAACTCATGCAACGCCAAGTCGCCACTGCCGCCTCTCGATTTCAAGCGCAAGCCGACCAGCTTCTCGCTGAATCTCGTGAAAGTTTCCGCCATCTCGTTCAGCAGCAAGTTACAGCTGCAGAACGCCGAGCTGATGTATTACATGACGAAGTCGCCTGCACCCGCAGAGCACAAGACCGCCAAGCCTCAGAACACCAGCGAATGTGGCAACATATCGACCAGATACGCGACACGCTGGCCCTCGCCGAAGCGCAGACGCTGATCGCGGACCTTAACCGCCTTGCCGAAAGGGGCCACCAACCTGACCCGACACTCTTCACCGTGGGCTGCCAGCGCCTCATTGCGCCGAACGCGTTGCTCAACGACCTCCAGGAATGGGTTGCAGTGGCCAAACTGCAGCCAAATCTTGTGGAACTGCTCGGAGATGGCGAACCTGCTCGCCGTTTCCTCCTACAAGTTAAAGGTGACAACGCTGTCGCAGTGCCCCGAGCCCTGGCTCTCTCGCGCGCCATGCGAAATGCAGCTGGTCAGTGAAAGTGGTTTACCTCGACTGAAACCACAGGCCAGCCAGTCGACATCTATATCAACCCTGACACGTCCCCCAAGCAGATCATAGCAGAAGTCCATACCAAGAAGCTCCTACAGTTCATGCAGCAGCGCCACCCTCGCCAACAGTGGAGGGCCTTCCGCACCAAGGGAGAGATCCACTGCGACTCTATGCCCGCCGTCAAAATCACCATCCGAGGCCAGGCCGGCCCCTCCATGCTCCAGTGGAACGAGCAAGCCTTCGACAACCCGCAGTGCCAGTCCATCGACCGCGGCAGCATCCTCACTTCCAGGCGCTCTTTGCTGACACGGAGTCAGCCACGTGGCGCTCCGAACTGCCAGTGGGCTCCTTGGCGGTATGACGCCGCTGCGGAGCCGACCACCATCGCCACGTGGAACGCGCGTGCCCTTATGCGATATAAAGGCAGGCGCCGCTTCCGCAAACAAGCCGCCCTCGCCAAGTACATGAAGCGTAAGTGCGTAATCGCGTTCCAGGAGGTCCACGGCCCTGAGGCCCTGCTCCGCACCTGGGTCGACGCGCAACCGTGCCCCTACAAGGTCTTCTTCACGGCATCCCCCAGCGCCACGCGTGGCGACGTGGCGGGGGCGCGGTGGGGGTCCCGGCGCCTGTTTGTGTTGGGCGGGGGGCCTTTACCGCAGCACGCAAAGAGCGTCCAGGAACGTGGGGATGTCGGACGTGGTGGGGGCGCGGTGCGGGCCCCGGCGCCTGTTTGCGTAGGGTGGGGGGGCCTTTAACACAGCGCGCAGAGAGCGTCCAGGAGGGTGGGGATGTCAGGCGTGGTGGGGCGGGGCGGGGGTGCTGGCGCTTGTATGCGTAGGGTGGAAGGCTTTTAAAACAGCACGCAAAGCGCCCAGGAGGGTGGGGATGTCAGACGTGGTCGGAGCGAGAGGGGGGCCCCGGCGCCTGTTTGCGCAGGGTGGACGGCCTCTAGAACAGCACGCGCAGAGCGTACAGGAACGCGGGGATGTCCGACGCGGTGGGGGCGCGGTGGGAGCCCCAGCGCACGCAAAGAGAGCGCCCAGGAGGTTGGGGATGTCAGGCGTGGTGGGGGCGCGGTGGAAGTCCCGGCGCCTGTTTGTGTAAGGTGGGGGGCCTCTAAAACCATGCCCAGATGCTCCACGATCGAAATATTTCGAGCGCGCACATCGATATCGGGAGCGACCCGAAATCGATAACGCGCTATCGATATCGTTTTTTTTTCTCGAATTTCGAGCGCGGCACCGACAATTTCGATAGCGAGATTTCGAGCGCGATCGAAATTCAATTTCGATCGCGGGAGTCCGCGTCGATCGCGCGCGGGCGCTCGAAATTCGAGTTAGCATCGCGCCTGAGCGCGGCCAAAATGCGAACGGGCGACGGCGGCGTGCCCTTGCTCATCCCCATGCCGTTCCTCTCCCCCCGTCATTGTCCACCTCCTCCTCCTCCTCCTCCTCCTCCTCCTCCTCCTCCTCCTCCTCCTCCGCGCGGCCATGCCCTACGGCCATGCCCCTCCTCCTCCTCCGCGCGGCCATGCCCGTAATTCTCCTCCTCCTCCTCCTCCTCCTCCTCCTCCTCCTCCTTCTCCTCCTCCTCCTCCTCCTCCTCCTCCTCCTCCTCCTCCTCCTCCGCGCGACCATGCTCATCCCGATGCCCTGCGGCCATGTATGCGCCAACTACACGCATATCCTAGGGCGCCAGAAGAGGGGATACATGTTTCGGCTAGTCGAGTCTGCAGTGAATTCGTGCCTATTGGCCAGGGGCGCCGTAGCAAAATCGACGGCGCTGCTGCAAGGCGCCTTTGACGCGTGAAAACGGCGCCTGACGAACCACTTATTCAAGCATTGCGCGCTGCCCGACGCATGCAAGCGCATCGTCGTCGTCGTCATCGTAGTCCGATGGATGGTGCAATGCATCGTCCGATACGCCGTACGTCTACTGGTGCGCCCGCGGCGGGACATCAGTCCCCTGCATGGCTCTCGCGGCCTGCACGGCCCCGCGCGGCTGCGCCTCGCCGAGCAGCCAGTCCGTCTCCGCGACGCGGTCGGCCACGAGCTGCAAGCGGTCGACCACGAGCTGCGGGCGCTCCGAGATGTCATCGAACTTCTTCTCGATGCGCTCGACGTCCTCGGCCTTGGTCCGCATGACCTGCCCCAACGCGTCGGTGATGGCCTGCGCGTGCTGCTCCAGCGCGTCGGCGAGGCCCTGTGGTGCTGCTGGCGCCGCCGCCGCTGCTGCTGCCGCCGCCGCCGCTGGTGCTGGCGGTGCCGCTGCTGGTACTGGTGGACGTCCTAGAGCCGCTATTGGCAACGCTGGCTGATTATGCACTGCTGCCTGCAAGTAAATGTAGCCCGTGTAAACTCGTACGATCCGCTGCCCTCCGCGCGTAAAGGTGGCCGTCTGATTCCATTGGCCGTCGGTCCTGCCATAGTGCTTGGGCGCCGCCAAATGGTCGGCTGTCACTCGGGCCCCTGTAGTTGAACACATGAAGCACCGCCAGAACTGGTCGGTGTCGCTCCACTGCATCCACGGCGCATCGGTCCTCGTCCCGTCCGCGAGCATCACGGACTGCGGGCGCGTCGCCGTGTTCTCCTTGAACAGGTAGGCGGCCATGCCGCCGCTCTCCACGGAACAAATAAGTCGGCCGACCTGCGTTCGCCAAAACTGCTTGGGCCGAATTGGCTATCATCGTCGCCGCGGCTTGGGTGCCTCGGGGGGGCCTCTTTGGGCCGTTTGGGATCCTCTTGGGGAACTCCTGGGGGCCTCTTGGGGCCTTTTGGGGCCGTCTTGGGGCCTCTTGGGCCCTCCCGGGCGCTTCTTGGGGCCATCTTGGAGGACATCGATCAAAGAAGAGGGGGGCTTTCATTAGGGCTGTCCCCATCAGGAGGCCAACGTGGGGCCAAAACCCTAGCAAAATCAAGTTTCGACGAAGTGGGGAACTTCAATTAGGGTTGCCCCCCCCCAGGAGGCCCACATGGGGCCAAAACAATATAAAAATCAATGATTTGGGCATCAAAGAAGAGCGGGGCATTAATTAGCCTCGCCCCATCCAGGAGGCCAAAATGGGGCCAAAAACCTTTGCGACACCAATGATTTTGGCTTCATCGCCGAGGCCGTTTTGGTCGCTCTGACCGCTCGCGGCCCCTCCCGTCCAGGTCCACGGGGGGGGGGGGGGGGGGGGGGGGGAGGAATTGCCCCCCCCCCCCCCCCACACACACACCCGAAGGGGAAGAGGGGGGGGGGGAAGAGGAGACGCTCTAAACCGCCGACGCCCAGAGGGCTGGTGGGATAGGTTGACCCGCAGCGTGCACGTGGGTCGTCGCGTTAAACCCGCAGCGGCACATGCCCCATAGGGCATGCTAGGCATCATAGATGATGCCTAGCATGGGTCCTCGCTGGCCCTCGTTTTGAATGCACAACGCCGCGCGTCCCAACCCCCGCTTCGTGGCGCGATAAGGACACGGAACACGATGATGGTGAGTATGATTAGGGCCAGGATGCCAACGACGAGGAGGATGGGGGTACTCGGCCACTCAGTGAAAGCCCCCCAGGACGACCCTCTACTCGCTTGGGCGTCGTTTCTGGATGGGATGGTCGGGATACTTTTTTGGTCTGCGGTTCCAAGGGCGATTCCAGAGAGCGGGTCGAAACAAGCTTGGGGCAACAAGCAAGATAATTGCCAGCGGGCCAAAAGCCAACGCCGGAAAGCACACGCGAGGAACAAAATGAACCTCATTAAGCCGATCCACACGGCAGCCGACGATTGACAGCGGGGCGTCGCACAGTGGCGCCAGCACCCGACAGACCGGACGGCGAAGGGCAGGGCACAGCGGGCAGCTGAACCCTGGCAGAAGCCCGCCCGTGAAAGTGCACCGAAGGCGAGCAGAAAGGAGCACGAAAGCCTCACTCAACACCAATGCACAAGGGGGGAACGTCACGTGGGCCAGAACGTCGCAGGCAAGCTGTTGGCGGGACGCCAGACCGGTGAGCACGTCCCTGCCAGACTGTGCCCCAGGTGCAGGAAGCCGGGATGGGCCGACCTGCCAGTGCCACATTGAGCGCACCCTATTGCGTGAGAACGAACACGTCGAAGGGCCCGCCACTGCAGTCGTCGTGAAGGAAGAGGGGGGGCGCAGCCGATAGCCGCAAATCAGTTGAATACAAAGGAGGAGGAGGAGAGCCATGTGGCGACACAGACAGTCGGGGACCCAACATGGCGTAGTCGGAATGTAGTCAGCGGAAGGCGCCTGCCTGGTGGGGGGGAAACGCCACCAGAGCAAGGTCACCAGTCGTCGGATGTGCAGCGTGTGGAGCGTATGGGGCGGGCCTTAGGCCTGCGGCCCCAGCCATCCAAAGTGAGTGCCCCAGCGGGCGAGACGGGCCCACGCCCGTGTGAACGAGGCCAAAGTGAACCGTGGGCAGGAAGATGATCGGGATACGCGAAGCGTTTAGAATTTCAAACAAACGCCGAACGCGCGCCGCGGGATCAAAACGAGGAGGGCCCAGACGAAGGACGAAGGAGCAGGGGGCGCATGGCGCTGCGGATTCAAAACGTGAACATACGTGTGTTTGGTGTTGCGCGGTTGTCTGTGTGCGGTGGGTGGCGTGCGTTTGTTCGAGGCTCGGCCACGGCGCACGCGTCCGCCGACCGCTCGCGGGCCCCGAGGCGCTGCCCAGGAGTAGGGAAGGCGACTTGGTGTTGTTGGTGTTTTTGTTATTGTTTTTCTTGTTGTTGTTGTTGTTGTTGCTGCTGTTGTTGTTGTTGCTGTTGTTGTTGTTGCTGTTGTTGTTGTGGTTGTTGTTGTTGTTATTGTTGTTGGTGTTGTTGTCAGGCCCCCGTAGCCCTCGAGAGGCTCAACTAGCCCTGATCGCGGCGATGTCTCTGTCCGCCGCCCGTTCGTGGCGGCCAAAAAAAACAAACGGCGCCACTGCTGAGTATCGAGCGATGCGTTGAAACGGGGCTAGCGTGCCCCCCATCCCCATTCAAAGTCATTGGCCCTCTCCTCCACTATTCCCTCCCTCTCCTCTTCTATTCTCCTCCCCCTCGTCTGCCCCCTCCATCTTTCCTCCGCGTTCCCCTGCCCTCCTCATCGTCATCATTATCAACGTCATCACCGCTATCTCCTTGCATCGCTACTGGGAACGGCATGCTCCCGCGGAGGGCGCGTCGCGGGCGCCGCCCCGACGGTCGCTTGGGCAGCGCCTGGTGCCTAGTGCTGGCACCCTCGCACAAACTCCAAATCTAGCAGCCCCAATGTGGGCAGACCAGGCACCCATATCATTCACCCGTTCTTTAGCCAACCAGACAACCAATCAGCCGATCAACCAATCAGCCAACCACCCAACCAGCCAATCAAGCACCCAACAAACCAGCGCAATCAATGCGACGGGTTGGGAGCACGGCGGCCACGGAGTGTCGCTCTGCATGTTTGCCTGTCCTAGCTTTCTCTACGAGCTTGTTCGGCACATCTAGAGTAGTTGTTCCTATCGCGCACGAGTTTGTTGCCGTTGTAATGTGCCGCTGGAAATCTTCCCCCTGGTACGTCCACAGGTGCCGTGGATGAATGAATGTGTCGTCGACCCCGAGGTGGTACCAATAATGACGTTTATTGACTATGCTCCATTGCATCTTGCCCGAGTTTGCCGCGCTGCGAGCCAACGAGCTGTGCAACACAAGGCAGGATGTGACCGCCTTCGCCATGACTGCTCGCTCCCTAGCTGAAGGAAACATGCCTGCTGCATCACACGCGGCGTAGAACCGCGCGAGGTTACGGATGCACAGGGTGCGGGTTCGCCATTCCACGTCCCCAGGAAGGTCGCATTGTTCACAGGGGTCCGCAATGACAGGAACCAGGGCTCGGCATTCAGCAGCCTTGACACTGTTTGACAAGTTTGGGAAGTCCGCGTGGGGTTTGCGCTGGCCGGCCAAGAACATTTTCAGCCCAAAGGATCCGCCATGCCAGAATGCAGTCCGACCCAGAGACGACGGAACACCATAATGTTGGTCCCTATATGATTCATTTTTGAAAATCATCCTAAATTGGTTGTGCCCCAGGCAAGGGGGATGCGGGGTTGTAATACACGACTCCTGAAGGGTGCGGGGCAGGCGGCGTCTGGCGAAAGCCATGGTATGTGACGCTGCTTCTAGTGCCGCGTCGATCGTAAATCTCGTGGATCTCGCAGCAGAGATCTGCAAACGTGCTCTTAGGGTTGCCGCCGATCCTTTCGTACACGAGCTCGTACAATATGTTGCCAATCGCGTGTTGGCTTACGCCCAGATCGAGCGCATGGAGAAGATCCAAGCATAACGACCGATGAGTCACTCCAGCAAGGCGCCTGAATATCGGGTGATCTGATGGTACGAGCGTGGGACCACGTCGTTCCATCGTAGACCAATGCCCAGGCTGTCCGATCTTGGAGAGCCGTTCTATTTTCGCGAAACGGTCGGGGTGGAGCAGGCAGAAGTAAGGGGGATAATGCGACGGTCAAAGAGGGGAAGAGGAAGTGGGTGAAAACGCTCACCTTGGAAAAGTTAGTCCACAATCGATCCGTCGGGCTGCGATCTGCGCGGCAGCGGAAGCAAAACTCATCGCAGTTGTTGTGCGGCATGCCAAAATATTGAATTCCCTACCTAGGCTCTGCCTAGAAGGGTTCTTACCGTGTTGGCTTAAAGGGCCGGGCAGTGTTACACGCCCCGGGCGGTTCCCCCAGGATCCGCCCCGCGGTTCCCCCAGTGACGTTCCCTTAGCTCTTAGCTTAGCGTTGCTTATCTCATCTTAGCTTAGCTTATTGCATCTTAGCTTAGCTTAGCTTCATCTTAGCTCAGGTTTATCTTAGCTTAGCTTACCTTCATCTTAGCTTCGCCGAGCTTTAGCATAGCAGAGCACAGCATAGCATAGCAGAGCGTAGCACAGCACAGCGCAGCACAGCATATCATAACAAAGCCCAGCATAGCATAGCATATCATAGCATAGCATAGCATGGCGCAGCTTATCATGTCATAGCATAGCATGGCATATCTTAGCATAGCACAGCGCAGCATGACATAGCATAGCTTAACTGAGCATCGCATGACATAACATGTCATAGTATAGCATAGCGCAGCATAACATAGCATGTCATAGCATAGCGTAGCGCAGCATAGCATGGCATAGCATAGCATAGCATAGCAACTAATGCTGCTTTCCTAGGGACTCCAACTTCTAGGTAGGGTCGCACTGGGGTGATACAGAAATCGAGGTCGCCTAGGATGCCGTAGATACAAGCGTTGAATGGGTATTGCTCGCTGCATAACAACTTCCCACGATCCAGCCACCGCTGCGATCCTCGCTCAAAAGGGTTGCCCTGCCAGACCGCCTCCCCCAACGCACGTATGCGTGGGGGAACTTGGCGAACCACAAGCATAGATGTTTGTATATTTCTCGACTTTATCCTCATATCTCTTTATCGTATTATCGTAATCTTTATCGTGATTTTCCACAGCTAACACATCATCTTTAGCGTGCCTCCCCTGCTCATGCCTTCGTCCTGGTTCTTTCCTCCGCCCCAGAACCCTGCGCATCCCTTCGATTTGCCCTCCCGCTACCACCTTTTTCCAAGCCTTGTCCTTCCCCCCGTCACCGAACCCTCTGCCATCCTCCTTTCCCCGCCCCCCCCCCCCACCCATACCTCCGGGCGACGGCGAAAAGCCGTGAGATCGCGTTCTGGGTGGCGCCCTTGCATCAGAGCCTTAAACGACCAACGCAGCATTTCCCACATGTCATACGACGTCTCGTTTTTTGTCGTGCAACTCAAGGGCCACGCCGCTAAGGATAAAGTCACGGATTTGTCCCCACACACATTAGCCCAGACATACTTATCGTTGTCATATCCCGTTTCACGAACTCAGCTCCATCTCCATGGGCACATAACGGAATTGCCCATGTGTAGTATCTTGGTGTGGACCATATGGGGTGGTCTCTCAATCATCCCGTGCAGACTTTGGAAATTGTGAGTGCCGCGCGCCAGTTATACATGTCATGAGGGTAATATACATACATGCGTGTGTGTGTGTGTGTGTGTGTGTGTGTGGGTGGGGGGGGGGGGGGGTACGCGCGCCCGTGAAATTGCAATTGATTTGGATGTGCATCTGCATGGCCCTCCCCCCTGCGTGTGTATGACAGCGCATGAATATGTTCACGTGTTTTACGTGAAGTATGGTTACGCCCATGCGTCACAATTTCCAACCGTCCAACCCTGAACCTGCTGGCACCAGCCCAGAATTTCCCGATGTCCTCAACGGCGAATAAACGCCAAAACGTGGTGATGTCAGACGTGGTGAGGGCGCCGTGGGGGTCCGGGCGCCTGGTTGTGTAGGGTGGGGGGCCTCTAAAACAGAACACACAGAGCGGGTGGGGATGTCAGACGTGGTGAGGGCGCGGTGGGGGTCCCGGCGCCTGTTTGTGTAGGGTGGGGGGCTCCTGAAACAGGGCACACAGAGCGTCCAGGAGGGTGGGGATGGCAGACGTGGTGAGGGCGCGGTGGGGGTCCCGGCGCCTGTGTGTGGAGGGTGGGGGGCCTCGAAAACCGCACACACAGAGCGTCCAGGAGGGTGGGGGCGTAAGACGTGGTGAGGGCGCGGTGGGGGTCCCGGCGCCTGTTTGTGGAGGCTGGGGGGCTTTTTTAAAATAGCACGCAGAGAGCGTCCAGGAGGGTGGGGATGTCAGACGTGGTGGGGGCGCGGTGGGATTGTTGGTTCGGGAGGGTGTGGTGGTCCGTGTTGGTGAAAGTGGCGATCAGGAAAGTGTAATGCACGAGGTGCCATCTCACACGCCTCTGGGGTCGGCGGTTTTGCAAACGACGCTGACTTCGGGGACGCGAAGCTGGCGCAACTTAGGAGGAGTGTGGCCCGGGAGACGCGAATCTCACGCATTCGTATGCGTCCCAGGACCACGGGGAAGTCTGAGAACCCTTGGGAGGGAAAGTAAGCGATTCCTTTTCGGCCCCCCTTTCGCGCGAGCAGTAACAGTTTTCAGATGGAGGCAGAAAGTAGAACTCGAGCCTTGGAGACTGGAAGCGGCAACTGGAGCAGGTTGCAGGAAACCTCCTCCGCGCAGCCTGCTGGCCCCACAAGAGGGCCCTCGAATAGACACTCGGGATGCCCTCGGCAGCCCTCGGCGGCATTCGGCGCCAAGATAACCCAAAGAGGGCAGACGTTTGACACTGCGTCCTGGGTGCCTCGAGACGTCTAAGGGTATTCGGGGTGTTTCTGGCAGAGGCCTCCTAGCCCAGTGCTATGCAGCTCAGAGGAACTCAGAAGGACACGAGCTCCAATCACCGAACAATTCAGAGCAACACGAGCACTAACACAGCAAACATTTCGCGTGACACCCGCATCGTACGACGGCGCAACAAAGCAGAAGGATCGATACAGATGGCACTTTCACGGCGACGCATCTGACACACGTGGCGCGCAGCCCATGCC